TAGATAGATAGATAGATAGATAGATAGATAGATAGATAGATAGATAGGATGTTCAGTAATGAGTATTTATTCTTCTTTTCTGATCTTAATCAGGTCGACTTTCCCTGGAGAACGTCTCAGAGAGGAAAGAAAAGATGAGGCTGGGAATGACGCTGACCTCCAACCCCAAAGACAGCAGCTTTGTGGTGAACTGCTTTCATAAATATGACATTTATGCTCAGAATTAGTAAGATCTCTGTACTTTTTTTCACTGTTTATAATCATCACTTTAGTAAATGTTAAAAAATTAAGGATTTTTGAAAGCAAAGAATGATATTAATAGAGTTGACAAACAGTAACAGGATGAATTTGAAATGGAGGAATTAGGAAAAAGGATTATAATGCAGCAACTTTCCAAAAGCACCAATTAAGAGCCACATTGTGTGTATTTTATTCTTTTAGAAGCAACATAAACGATTAAAATATACCTGGTAGCACTAAGCAAAAAGCTTTACACACATTTGAAAAAAAACTTTTTATGTCTTTTTACCAGGAAATAAAAAACATGGCAACATTACTTATCAACAGTCGTTCACTTGAAGTGTAAACGAAAATCTTATATACGATATATAGATAATATATAGATAATTAAATGGATTTTAAAAAGAAAGAAGTAGCTTTTTGAGTATTTCCTTCACCCCTTTGTGTCAGATGAAGAACATACATAGTCATAAAAATGTCCTGACTCATAAAGAATTGCAGGTGTTGAGCACGTTTAGCAAACGGATGCACGGCCGTTACCACGGCAACGGCTGTCAGGCAGCCTGGTTTTATGGTCATAATCCAGCATTTACATCTGGATGTCGTAACTCCCAGAGAATGTGTTTCCCAGACTCCTCTCTTCCTGGTTCTGTTGCTTATTAGCCGGTACTCTGCATCAGCAAATCCTCACCTAAAAAAAAACAAAAGAATCTAACAGACTCTGAATTTAGGAGGAAGCTTCTATTATTAGAAAGTCTCCACTGGTTCTAATATTCTGATATTATTTGGATTTATTCCAAACTTATCAATGGAGTCAGTGCCTTGATTCCTCTTACAAATATTCAACAATATACATATCTAGTTTCCAAAAATGAAAAAGTACTGTCAAAGATCTTTCACAACACATGAAAACTCCCGCATTCACACTGATTTAAACACAAGTAGATTAAACGGATTTGGAATAGACTCAGAAACTGAGTAAACAAGTTGTGTTTGCAAATGTATTTACACTTAAATAGAGACATTAAGATAGGAAAAGCTGTAATTTCCCACCTGTCATGAGGGTGGATCTTGGAGGACTCAGTCGCGGAGATTCGTGAAAAAGGTTTATTTTATCAAAAAACACTCAAAAGAGTGGATGACAGGACAAGACTAAAAAAACAAAGCTGTGGCAAAACTATGAACAAAGTATCAAATCAAGATTAAACATGACTATGAACACAAAGTATCAAATAAAGTAAACAAGGCTATGGCAAAGTAACAAATAAAGATTAGCAAAACTGTGGCATGGCTGTGGCAAAACATGGCTATGACAAAAAAAACGTGGCTATGGAAAAGTACAAACAAGATTAACATGACTGTGGCAAAACATGGCTATGACAAAAAAACGTGGCTATGGAAAAGTACAAACAAGATTAACATGGCTGTGGCAAAAACAAAGGCTATGGCAATAAAGTAAACTAGGCTATGGCATGGCTGTGACAAAAATCACAAACACACATGAGGACCACGGGAGGGTGGGGGGGATCAGGAACAGAG